ATCTCAATTGTGAATCCCGTATACAATGCCATTTGCAAGCCAGTCCTGTCTGACCCACATTCGTACCCATCAAGGCGGACATTTATTGATACCCTGACGATGACCGACAACATTCCGTTATATACCGCCACCTACAGGCCAGCCCTGCTCGCTTTTTTCTGTTATTCTTTTTAAAGAGGGGTTTTTTCTCCTGTAAAATTAATTCAGTCCTTTTTAACTTTTTCCAAGGAGTTTTTTTCACCCCTCAATCATCATGTTTCTCAATGGACTTCTAATTTAGAAACTATGAATTGCATTTTGTAAAGATTCGGCCTACCTCGTCTAAAACTCGCATGCAAATTTATTTTAACTTGCTTTGATGGGACTCCTACGGGTCTTTAATAAAAATTATCTATCTATCTATCTATCTAAGGCTTATATGTCGTGCGATTAGATCACCCTTTTCAATTTTCTCAAATGATGTCTGCAATACCGATATCACGTGGTTCAGATTCGCAACATAGTCTCAGAACCTCCCCATATTACCTGTGGGTTACTTCAGGGCACTACCCAGTCCCCTCCTATTTCTCATATAAATTTACAACTTTCGTCATATCAGTTTCAGTTAGAATCCTTTCATTTGCGGGCGACCCAAATCTCAGATATGCATGTAACGAGCGTACGGTAGCCAGTATGCATAGGATAATCGAAACCGATCTTTGAAAGCTTGGGAAATGGACTAGTGAGTGGAAAAGACCATTCTCACAGACAAAATGCCATCTCCTGATATTTGGCCCACAAAAGCTTCCCTCTCCATAATGTTGAGGAAGCCCAACCCATAAGTGACCTAAGTCTGAGCTATACAAATACCCCTGGCTTATCCCCTCACGCTGAACAAATATCATCGAAAGCCACTCGCATGTACGGATTCATATGTAAGAATTTCAAATTAAGTGCACTAAAGGCACAACATTTCAAAATGTATGTTCGACCTCTCCTAGCTCACTGCTTAATTTTCTTTGACACTATTCCCTCAGATGGCCGGAAGTAACTAGAAGGCATTTAAAGACGCTTTACTATGTCTTTGATTAGATGTGATAGCACCCACGATTCATACTTAGAACTATATCACAAATGCTGTCCTCAGCTCCTCTGGATTCAGCGGAGCAATCTCGGGCCATTTCGAGTAGGCGTCAACCAAGATTAGGTAGGAGATTCCGTTAACAGGGCCAGCGAAGTCGATGTGCACGCGTGACCAAGGCCTCTCCGAGGGTTGCCAGGGTACTGGCGGTTGACGAGGCGGCATCTTGGCAGCTTGCTGACATCGAGAACAGCGTCGAACCAGGTCGTCGATGTCGCCGTCGATACCCAGCAAGTAAGAAAAACTGCGAGAAATAGACCTCATTCGGCTGATACCATGATGAGCCGCATGGAACTGGCGTAGTACAATGGGTCGGAGGGAAGATGGGATCACTACGCGGTCCGCAATCATGAGGCAGGAGTCAACCACAGATAACGATGTTCGGCGGAGGGAGAGTTGGCGAAGATCACAAGCGAGAGCTGTGGTTGGTCAGCAGGTCTGCACGTAGGTGATGGCCTGACGGAGGACAGGATCCTGTTCAGTAGCACGTCGGATGCCCGCGGCAGTGACAGGGATACGTCGTATGGCGTCTGATAGCTGACGGTTCACATCGTCCTCAATCGAAATAGTGGCAATCACGGTATCTTCCTCCGGTTCCTGCTGATTGCTGATGAGGCGAGAAAGGGCGTCAGCCTTACCAAAGTCTGTAGTACGACAGTAGCGAATGTCGAAATCGTAGCCAAGAAGGATGGTCGCCCATCGCTGAAGTCGGCTGGCTGAGTAGACGGGAATGCCCTTCTTCAAACCGAAGATTGACTGCAATGGTTTGTGATCCGTCAACAACGTGAAGTGGCGACCGTACAACAGTTTGTGAAATTTCTTAACGGCAAACACGAGGGCTAGAGCCTCTTTCTCTATTTTCCCGTAGTCCTTCTCCGTAGGGGTTAGCGTGCGAGATGCATGTATGATCGCCTTTTCAGACCCATCAGGAAAAGTATATGAGGTGACGGCACCAACTCCGTGGTTGGAAGCATCTGCAGCAACAACGATCGGCAGCGTCGGGTCGTAGTGCGTGAGCAGCAGATCTGAACACAGCATCGACTTTAGCTGGGCGAAGGCCTTTTCACAGTCGGGGGACCAGTACCAGAGAGCATCCTTCTGCAACAGACGGTTGAGCGGGGCCCGTACGTCATGCAGCGATGGTAGGAAGGCGCTATAGTAGCTGATCAGGCCATGGAACGAACGAAGTTGCGATACATTCTTGAGGGCAGGCATACGTTGGATGGCCCGAATGTTTTCCGCATCTGGATGGCGACCAGTGACGTCAAAAACAAATCGAGGTAATTGATGGAGTCGAGGAAGAATTGGCACTTGTCGGTCCGTAGGCGAAAGCCATATTCCTGCACGCGTTCGAGCACTGCGCACACTCGGTCTTGCAGCTCGGCAGGGGAGCGACCCACGATGATGATGTCGTCCAGGTGCCCAGCTGTACCAGGGATGCCGGAGAGCATTGCGTTCATCGTTTGTTGGAATAGGGCCGGGGCGGTCTTGACACCAAAAGGCAGCCTGGTGTATTGGAACAGACCGCGGTGGGTATTGATGGTCAACAATTCGCGCGACTCTGGACGACCTCGATCTGCAGATACGCATCAGCGAGATCCAACTTGGCAAAGCAAGTGCCACCATTTAGCAGGGTGAAAAGATCAGACGGAACCGGTAATGGATAACAGTTCGGCGTCAGCGCGGCATTGAGACCGGTGGAGAAGTCAGCACAAATGCGGACCGAGCCAATGGGCTTCTTAACCACAACGATTGGAGCGGCCCAGGCGGAGTAGGATACAGGAACCAGAACTCCCAATTCCTCTAGACGCTTCAGTTCAGCCTCGACAAGTGGTAGGGCTGCATATGGGACTGGTCGCTTTGGACGGAAGACTGGTTGACTTCCAGGAGACAGATGTAGCACGGCTTGAGTGTATGTGCAACGACCCAGGCCGTCTTGGAACACTGGAGGAAAGCGTTGGAGAATGTACTTGGCTTGGTCTGCAAGCACAGCGGGAATCTGCACCTGACTGCAAACAACGCGGAGCGGCATATCGGCCAACTCAAGTTGTTCAATCCAGTCGAGACCAAGTAGGTTTAGATCAGACTTGGTGATGTAGCAGATCGCAGTGATGTTGGTACCGCGGAACGAGACACAGCATTGCAGTTGCCCAATTAGCTGAAGAGACTACCGCACGCGCTTGTGGCGGACTGGAAGTCTGCTGCGTTGTGGGGCTGCCAAGGGACTGCCAGAGTCTCTCAGAGATGATGGTGATATCTGAGGCAGTGTCCAACTGTAGACGAACTGCATGGCCATTGAGCAAGACATCAACAAATTTTCTACGACCAGACGCATTGAGCTGGAAAGCGGCCAAGGGGCTCAGAGAATTACCAACGGACTGGAGTTTGGACTTGCGTTTTGGCCGGAAACGATGCCTGGAATTAGCAATGGCGGGGGTCGGCTTGCCTCCAGAAGTTGGTACTGATTTGCAAAACCCATCACGGTGTCCCACCTGATTAAAGATTTGTCAGCGATGCTGGCGGTGGAAATGCCACGCGCCACAGTGCCGACAAGGGGATGGCGGAGATCTCGCCTTGGACACTTGTTTGAGCCGCGATTTGGTCGATGTGACCGAATGGACCGAGAAAGATGAGGCAGGGTTCTGAACCATTGCAGAGTCGTGCTTGAGATTGATCTGCATTTGGCACTCTGCTGCCAGCTCTTGGAGTGTGATTGAGTTGTTCTGCTGCACTTTGGACAGGAGACGTGTCCGGATATCAGCATCCTTGGGGGACTGGAGGCCGCAGATAAACATAAGACATTTAAACTGGTCTTTAGTGAGAGAACCGGGTTGGAAACGCCCGCATTCAAAATTGCCAATGCTCGCATACGTGATGAAATCATCGGAATCGCGTTTGCACAGTTGCAGGCACTGAAATCGAGTGTTGAAAAGGGATGATTGATCACCAAAAATCTGCGACAACGTCTCAACCGTGTCCTTGAAAGCGACTTCTCGGGGATTCTTGGGAAGGATGAAGGTGGCATAACGCTCGTGTTCAGCCGGACCCAGTTTGCGAAGTAGGAGTCGAACCTTCCATGCATCGTCCTGGGCAGCCAGATCGACAGAGAACAAGTCCTCGTATCGTTTGTATCAGGAATCAAAAGTGATATGGGCCTGCGGGTCATACAAGAATTCCGTGATGCTGCCGGCAATGTGATCAACAGATTGCGAACCACCAGCCGCACTTGAATGACCCATGGACGAGTTGGACAGCTTAACGGTAAGTGCTTCCATTGGCTTCAGCTGCTGCTGCAACATCAGCTTCAAGTCTGCGTACTCGTCAGCCATTGTAGTTGAAAAACTGCGTCGCCAATTTGTTATGAACCGCCTGGTGCGTGAAATCCTGTGGAGCGTATGCGCACTCGACCCTTGTCCCCAATACCAACGCGGCAGAGAAGGAGAACGCGACCGGCCACGAAAATGTGTATTAGGAAATTGCAAGTCAAAATGAACTGGAAGTAACGCGTATTTATAACGCCTTACGGTGCTTCGCCGGCGTTCGGCCCAATGCCCTTCAGGAAGAACATTCCAGACAAACCGGTCGATAATTCGAATATGCAGATCGATCACGCCCGTGAGGAAAAGCCAATGGAGAGGCGCCACGATTAAGATGACAGCGCAGTAGAGAAAACGCACGTGGCCTCCCGTGATTGGCTGGCTCTTGTTCTTGGAAGTGTAGGCGCTCCCAACACCTAACAAACCAAAACGTTCCCAGAAACACTAGAAATAATGAACATACTGTAGGCATCCTCAAATTCTAAAAGTCCCGACGATTAAACTTTTATTCCATAAGATTTACGACTACATAAAATGTCCTCCCAAGTTCAATTAAAAGAAGCCGAAACCTATTAGAGTTTACAAATGAAAACCGATAAACACCTTTTAAATAGCAATTCACATTTACTTTTGAATGAGATAGGGCATTTTTCAAGTCAATGCTTTAATATGGTTTTTGGTTTAAACGGTTTCTGACTATGCCAGTCACTTCAGTAACACCAGATCATAGCCAAAAGAGGAAAGCCTTTCAATATAGGATAGGTAGCAGCATTAGTACACATTGCGTAAAAGGAGACATCCCTTCTTTTCTCTTCTGTCCATCCTCATCAGCTGACACAATAGACACTTTAAACCCTTAACGAAGTAATATTATCATAACTTTCGACAAATCCCAACCAATCTGTTTTGCCTAAAGGCTATCCTAAGGTTATGTTACACCAACGTAGAACTTTGTTAAATCATACTAGGAAGTCGACCAATATTCCTACAATGTCATATGATTGATTGGCAGCTGTCGAGGACGTTGGGGGACTTTTAAGTCAGTTTAAGTCAGTTTATTAAGGGAATGAGGCTTTCGCCCTTGAGCTCCCTATTCATATCGATAAACAGAAATAAAGTCATAAATTACATCAGCAAATGCGAAAAGTTAAGAAGTTAGCGGTAATTGTGACCTAGGCGCAAACCGCCGCCGCTAAAACAATCATTATTGAATGTACAGTAGGTTCTCAACAAGTGAGCGTCTAGTCTGCACTTAAAGGATTTGACACTTTCGGAAAGAACGACGGCATCAGGGAGTCCATTCCATGCCCTGATGACCCTGTGAGAGAACGCGTTCCGTCGGACGTCCGAATGAGCCCGCTTCCTTTGCAGTTTGAAGGGATGACCACGCAGACAGTCAGTCCGGGCCAATTCAAAAAATTCATCAAAGTCTAGGGCACACTCTCGGCTTCTGACAATCCTGTAGGTTTGAATGAGATCGCCGCGCAGTTGTCTGTAATTTAGAGGAAACAGATTTAGTTCGGTCAGCCTGGTTTCGTAAGGCGAATGATGAAGATTCTTGACCATCTTCGTAGCCATCGCCTGTACTCTTTCCAGTCGTTGATAATCTTTCTTTAACCACGGTCGCCAGGCCTGGACTGCATACTGTAAGTGATACCGGACGAATGCCCCATAGGTTTTTCCGAACAGCTCCTTGTCGATCTGCACAAATCCTCGCCTCAGCGCAAATAACACCCTTGTCGCACTTTTGGCTGCCCTTTGACACTGTGAAGATGGTTTCAGCGAGGAGGTCATTAGGACTCCCAGGTCTTTCTCTTCCACAACATTTGAAAGGGGCTGACCACCAAGGACATATTGAAAGGAATCGTCCTCCTTACTGGTCCGTCTGGTGCGGAGTCTCAGGACCACACATTTTTCTACATTAAAATTGAGGAGCCATCGAGCTGACCAACTGTTTAGGCGGTTGAGACTGTCTTGAAGCGCGTACCTGTCTGCATCAGATCTGATGGGTCTCCACAGCTTAACATCGTCAGCAAACATGATGGCGCTGCATCCCAGGTCGTCGACGCAGTCGTTAATGTAAACCAGGAATAGCAACGGCCCTAAGACGGAGCCCTGGGGTACACCATTTAGAACGGGAGTAGGAGTTGACCTTGAGGCCTCAATGCACACGGTTTGCGATCTCCCGGTAAGAAAATCTGTTATCCATGTCAGCAGCGTTCCTCTTATCCCAATTTCAGAAAGTTTGTAGATTAGGCGTTTGTGTGGGACGCTGTCGAACGCCTTCTTAAAGTCTGTGTATATGACATCAACCCTCCCATCCTCATCCAGTGCGCGAGTCCACTGCTCCGTCGAGAGCAATAAACTGGAAAGACACGAGCGGTTCTGTCTAAAGCCGTGCTGCAGGTCTGAGATTAAATGGCCCTGCTCCAGGAACTCCATAGTTGCTTTCTTAACTATGGCCTCCATTATTTTACAGCAGATGCAGGTTAGACTAACAGGCCGGTAATTGTTAGCATTAGTGCGAGCCCCGCCCTTGTATATCGGAAAGATATTTGCTGTCTTCCATTCCGATGGCAACCTCCCTAATTCGAATGACGAGCGGAAGATGTGCGCCAGTGGTTTGGAAAGTTCATTCGCCAGTTCCTTCAAGAATTTGGCCGGTATATTGTCCGGACCCGAGGACTTTGCTTCTTTGAGATTTTTCAGCTCCCTTTCCACGGCAGCTGCCGGGAAGAGTATGGAGTCAAGCACGGGACCAACAGTCTCAAGAGCATTGCCGGCACTGCGACAGCGAAACTCTGTTTCTCTAGTAAAAACGGAGGCAAAATACTGTCCTAAGTGTTCGGCTTTCTCGTTGTTCTCAATGATCTCTACACCATTATCATCCTTCAGCACCGCGACCGGGTCCTTATTTTTCAGTCTACTGTTCAGATAGTGAAATAAAATCTTAGGCTTCTGTTCAGCCTGTCGTATAATTTTGGATTCATACTCCTTCCGTGCCTGACGGATACATTTTTTGACGGCGTTTCGTTGACGACGAAATTCTTCGAAATGCGCTGGTGACGCAGTTTCCCTGAATATTTTCCATCTTTTGCTTTTCTTCCGTAGCTGCTTATTTAGGTCCCTAGTTAACCAAGCAGGTCGACTAGTTGTTTTTTGTACTTTAGGTGGACAACAGCGCCTAATCAGATCGAGTGAAATCGTTTTAAAAGATCTCCAGTCGTCCTCCGGATCTCCCCTGAATATTTGGTCCCAATTCACGGACAGCAATTCGTTCTTCATCATATTAAAATCTGCCTTCCATATATTAGGTTGGCCCTCTGTTCTCTTCTGGCGTTTAGAGAAGAGCGAGTAATCCCATAATAGCGTGGTATGGTCACTTTTCCCGAGAGGTGCATTGGAATACACTTCGTCGATATTAGAGAAGTCCTTAGTGAAAACTAGGTCTAGACAATTTGCTCTCTGGTTCTCTCGAAATCTTGTTGGTACCTTCACATGTTGCGCCAGAGGGAGATCGAGTGTGAGGTCCAGTAGCTTATTGCTGAAAGAGGCTGGTCCACCATTAACTGCCATAGTTTCCCACTCTATTGCAGGTGCGTTGAAATCCCCAGCAATAAGTACCTCTTGGTGGCTAGCTACGTCTTTGACTAAACCAAGGAGCGACTCATCAGCTGCACTCAGAAGATTTGGTGGTCTGTAAATCGCCAGAAATTCTAGATTTTGTGCATTGCTCTTCTTTATCTTTNGGACTCCAGTCCAATGATCTAATATAGTTGTTCATGGAGTCCTCGTCAAGTTTTTTTGGGTTTAGGCGGGTGTTACCAAAATGGGGTGCTAGTTTTGCGTTTAAGGGGAGTGTTGATATTATAGCTTTGTGGTCACTTTCAAAGGTTGCGCAGTCGTAGTGCATATAGAGGGGCCAGATCTCGTTGGTGAAAATAACGTCTAGTATATTGTTTCCTCGGGTGGGTTTGTCAACTATCTGTGTCCAGTTATTAAAGATAATTGAAGACAAGAATTCTTCGTGCCTGGTAGGTGCTGATAAGTCGACCCAGTCTATTTCTGGGCGGTTTAGGTCGCCTGTAATTATCTTATATTCAGTTTTTATGTTAGATATATTGCTTATTAAGAGGTTGGGGCTTGTGTCATCACTACTACATTCTGGAGGGGAGTAGAGGCATCCGACTAGTATGTTTTCCTGGGCATGAGATTTTATTGTGGCAAAACACGCTTCTCCAGAAAAGGTTTCGGTTGGGACATCAATACCACTTTGCTCAATGGTAGTTTTGATGTAGATAAGACAAACTCCGCCTCGTTTATTAGGAAATATCAAGTCAAAAATAACTGGAAGTAACGCATATTTATATCGCCCTGCTGTGCTTCGCCGGCATTCGGCCCAGTGCCCTTCAGGAAGAACATTCCAGACAAACCGGTCGATAATTTGAATATGCAGATCGATCACGCCCGTGAGGAAAAGCCAATGGAGAGGCGCCACGATTAAGATGACAGCACAGTAGAGAAAACGCACGTGGCCTCCCGTAATTGGCTGGCTCTTGTTTTTGGGAGTGTAGGCATTCCCAACAATTTCCATAAGTACTATTGGGAGCCGGTTAGCCTATAACGCCTCAAAAGGAGGCTGCTTTTTTGAAAGACGCCTGTAAATTCAAATTCATCCACTCCGGGCCGTTTGTGATTGTCTTTCTTCTGAGAGGACAGTTGGAATAAACAATTTCTTTCAGTAAAGAACCAAAGGTTTTTCAATTGTCGTTTGCTCCATCATGCAGTTCTGTTTCCTATGAAACCGTCGACAATTCTTTCCTCATGAGAGAATAGTCCATTTCAAAAAGCTTATCTCCTACCTATCAGACAGAATTGGTTTAAAAAGTTGAACATAGATAAGGAGCACCCAATATTCAGTGGTAAGTCACACTCAAAGGTATCAACATAACATCGAATCAGGTATCAAACTGTTCCGGATAATATACCTGCCAATGCATGGCCCCTTCACAGGCGGTGCTGACAGGGCGCTAGGCAGGACCAGAGTCATTCTCCATTAAAGCATTTTGTTACGTCTATCCATAGAAATACATTCTTCAAAAATACTAATTATTTTAGCTCTTTTTGACTTTAAAACGTTTATTTCCCCAAAATAACTTATACGCTACGGATAGAAAATCCGTCTAGACACACTGAACATGGCCATAGATGAGCTCGGCATATATGGCTTTGTTTAAGTCGCTCATTGGGGAAACACTTATCTGTCAAGCAGGCATCGTGCACGTCAGCGTGGGTGCGAACACTTTCTTTATTAGATAAAAGAATACTATCGCACGTCAACCAATGCTGTTTGCCTGTACTTGAAAACCGCTCTTGTAAATGTATGTTTTCCATGATAATTTTTAAGGTATTTACTCACTAACCAGCTCTCGTAGTCGAATTGAATGTCTCATAGTAGTCTTGGTGATCATTGTGCAGTTATACAATATGTTTGGCGGTTTTACTGTATATCCAAAGAAACTATGAAGCGTAATTACGGTGGCCATCAACAGAGCACCGTCTACAAGCGCACCAAGCGACAAATGAGCGCTTAATATGAGATCATTTGAAAGCCCATAACTCTAACAGCTTAGGAATGACGGAAAGCAGTTCATCCCGATCAGCTTCGACCGACTTTTGCATTCAATCCCAAGAAATGGGTGAACGCCAGTATGCCGGAGTTGCTCGTGCCAAATTAAGATTTTTGTATACCAATGCTCAAAGTCTCGTTTCGAAAATCGACGAACTCAAAACGATAGTACCGGAACGAATCCCCGACGTCATCGCCATAACGGAAACTTGGCTTAATGCCGAAATCATGGATGCTGAGATTTCGATACCGGGCTACCAGCTGTTTCGTAGAGACCGTCAAAATAGGCAGGGCGGAGGGGTAGTCGTATATGTAAGGGAAGGAATTTCAGCAGTTGAAAGAGCCCACACCCTCTCCCTTGAATATGTATCCGTCTGGATAAAGATAAAGAAGAGCAATGCACAAAATCTAGAATTTCTGGCGATTTACAGACCACCAAACCTTCTGAGTGCAAGTGATGAGTCGCTCCTTGGTTTAGTCAAAGACGTAGCTAGCCACCAAGACGTACTTATTGCTGGGGATTTCAACGCACCTGCAATAGAGTGGGAAACTATGGCAGTTAATGGTGGACCAGCCTCTTTCAGCAATAAGCTACTGGACCTTACACTCGATCTCCCTCTGGCGCAACATGTGAAGGTACCAACAAGATTTCGAGAGAACCAGAGAGCAAATTGTCTAGACCTAGTTTTCACTAAGGACTTCTCTAACATCGACGAAGTGTATTCCAATGCACCTCTCGGGAAAAGTGACCATACTACGCTACTATGGGATTACTGGCTCTTCTCTAAACGCTAGAAGAGAACAGAGGACCAATCTAATATATGGAAGGCAGATTTTAATATGATGAAGAACGAATTGCTGTCCGTGAATTGGGACCAAATACTCAGGGGAGATCCGGAGGACGACTGGATATCTTTTAAAACGATTTCACTCGATCTGATTAGGCGCTGTTGTCCACCTAAAGTACAAAAACAACTAGTCGACCTGCTTGGTTAACTAGGGACCTAAATAGGCAGCTAGGGAAGAAAAGCAAAAGATGGAAAATATTCAGGGAAACTGCGTCACCAGCGCATTTCGAAGAATTTCGTCGTCAACGAAATGCCGTCAAAAAATGTATACGTCAGGCACGGAAGGAGTATGAATCCAAAATTATACGACAAGCTGAACAGAAACCTAAGATTTTATTTCACTATCTGAACAGTAGACTGAAAAATAAGGACCCGGTCGCGGTGCTGAAGGTAATGGTGTAGAGATCACTGAAAACAGCGAGAAAGCCGAACACTTAGGACAGTATTTTGCCTCGGTTTTTACTAGAGAAACAGAGTTTCGCAGTCGCAGTGCTAGCAATGCTGTTGAGACTGTTGATCGCGTGCTTGACTCTATACTGTTCCCGACAGCTGTCGTGGAACGGGAGCTGAAAAATCTCAAAGAAGCAAAGTCCTCGGGTCCGGACAGTATACCGGCCAAATTCTTGAAAGAACTGGCGAATGAACTTTCCAAACCACTGGCGCACATCTTCCGCTCGTCATTCGAATTAGGGAGGTTGCCATCGGAATGGAAGACAGCAAATATCTTTCCGATATACAAGGGCGGGGCTCGCACTAATGTTAACAATTACCGGCCTGTTAGTCTAACCTGCATCTGCTGTAAAATAATGGAGGCCATAGTTAAGAAAGCAACTACGGAGTTCCTGGAGCAGGGCCATTTAATCTCAGACCTGCAGCATGGCTTTAGACAGAACCGCTCGTGTCTTTCCAGTTTATTGCTCTCGACGGAGCAGTGGACTCGCGCACTGGACGAGGATGGGAGGGTTGATGTCATATACACGGGCGTTAAGAAGGCGTTCGACAGCGTCCCACACAAACGCCTAATCTACAAACTTTCTGAAATTGGGATAAGAGGAAGGCTGCTGACATGGATAACAGATTTTCTTACCGGGAGATCGCAAACCGTGTGCATTGAGGCCTCAAGGTCAACTCCTACTCCCGTTCTAAGTGGTGTACCCCAGGGCTCCGTCTTAGGGCCGTTGCTATTCCTGGTTTACATTAACGACTGCGTCGACGACCTGGGATGCAGCGCCATCATGTTTGCTGACGATGTTAAGCTGTGGAGACCCATCAGATCTGATGCAGACAGGTACGCGCTTCAAGACAGTCTCAACCGCCTAAACAGTTGGTCAGCTCGATGGCTCCTCAATTTTAATGTAGAAAAATGTGTGGTCCTTAGACTCCGCACCAGACGGACCAGTAAGGAGGACGATTCCTTTCAATATGTCCTTGGTGGTCAGCCCCTTTCAAATGTTGTGGAACAGAAAGACCTGGGAGTCCTAATGACCTCCTCGCTGAAACCATCATCACAGTGTCAAAGGGCAGCCAAAAGTGCGACAAGGGTGTTATTTGCGCTGAGGCGAGGATTTGTGCAGATCGACAAGGAGCTGTTCGGAAAAACCTATGGGGCATTCGTCCGGTCTCACTTAGAGTATGCAGTCCAGGCCTGGCGACCGTGGTTAAAGAAAGATTATCAACGACTGGAAAGAGTACAGGCGATGGCTACGAAGATGGTCAAGAATCTTCATCATTCGCCTTACGAAACCAGGCTGACCGAACTAAATCTGTTTCCTCTAAATTACAGGCAACTACGCGGCGAACTCATTCAAACCTACAGGATTGTCAGAAGCCGTGAGTGTGCCCTAGACTTTGATGAATTTTTTGAATTGGCCCGGACTGACTGTCTGCGTGGTCATCCCTTCAAACTGCAAAGGAAGCGGGCTCATTCGGACGTCCGACGGAACGCCTTTTCTCACAGGGTCATCGGGGCATGGAATGGACTCCCTGATGCCGTCGTTCTTTCCGAAAGTGTCAAATCCTTTAAGTGCAGACTAGACGCTCACTTGTTGAGAACCTACTGTACATTCAATAATGATTGTTTTAGCGGCGGCGGTTTGCGCCTAGCTCACAATTACCGCTAACTTCTTAACTTTTCGCATTTGCTGATTTAATTGATGACTTTATTTCTGTTTATCGATATGAATAGGGAGCTCAATGGCGAAAGCCTCATTCCCTTAATAAACTGACTCAAAAGTCCCCCAACGTCCTCGACAGCTGCCAATCAATCATATGACATTGTAGGAATATTGGTCGACTGCCTAGTATGATTTAACAAAGTTCTACGTTGGTGTAACATAACCTTAGGATAGCCTTTAGGCAAAACAGATTGGTTGGGATTTGTCGAAAGTTATGATAATATTACTTTGTTAAGGGTTTAAAGTGTCTATTGTGTCAGCTGATGAGGATGGACAGAAGAGAAAAGAAGGGATGTCTCCTTTTACGCAATGTGTACTAATGCTGCTACCTATCCTATATTGAAAGGCTTTCCTCTTTTGGCTATGATCTGGTGTTACTGAAGTGACTGGCATAGTCAGAAACCGTTTGAACCAAACACCATATTAAAGCATTGACTTGAAAAATGCCCTATCTCATTCAAAAGTAAATGTGAATTGCTATTTAAGAGGTGTTTATCGGTTTTCATTTGTAAACTCTAATAGGTTTCGGCTTCTTTTAATTGAACTTGGGAGGACATTTTATGTAGTCGTAAATCTAATGGAATAAAAGTTTAATCGTCGGGACTTTTAGAATTTGAGGATGCTTCTAGTATGTTCATTATTTCTAGTGTTTCTGGGAACGTTTTGGTTTGTTAGGTGTTGGGAGCGCCTACACTTCCAAGAACAAGAGCCAGCCAATCACGGGAGGCCACGTGCGTTTTCTCTACTGCGCTGTCATCTTAATCGTGGCGCCTCTCCATTGGCTTTCCCTCACGGGCGTGATCGATCTGCATATTCGAATTATCGGCCGGTTTGTCTGGAATGTTCTTCCTGAAGGGCATTGGGCCGAACGCCGGCGAAGCACCGTAAGGCGTTATAAATACGCGTTACTTCCAGTTCATTTTGACTTGCAATTTCCTAATACACAGTTTCGTGGCCGGTCGCGTTCTCCCTCTCTGCCGCGTTGGTATTGGGGACAAGGGTCGAGTGCGCATACGCTCCACAGGATTTCACGCACCAGGCGGGTCATAACAAATTGGCGACGCAGTTTTTCAACTACAATGGCTGACGAGTACGCAGACTTGAAGCTGATGTTGCAGCAGCAGCTGAAGCCAATGGAAGCACTTACCGTTAGGCTATCCAACTCGTCCATGGGTCATTCAAGTGCGGCTGGTGGTTCGCAATCTGTTGATCACATTGCCGGCAGCATCACGGAATTCTTGTATGACCCGCAGGCCCATATCACTTTTGATTCCTGATACAAACGATACGAGGACTTGTTCTCTGTCGATCTGGCTGCCCAGGACGATGCATGGAAGGTTCGACTCCTACTTCGCAAACTGGGTCCGGCTGAACACGAGCGTTATGCCACCTTCATCCT